CGGGGGCAGCACGGTCAAGAGCTCTCGCTTGTCGTGTCGCCGCGGCGGCCCCGACCGCAGGAGGCGGCGGCAGCAGCCCGTGACGCGGGCCGCTGCACGCGGCAATCGGCCGCAGGCGGTGCAGAGTTGGGCGTCGCCTCACAGGGGGGGACGATATTTACTTCCCAGCGCGAATTTTGCGGGGAGAAGAGGAAAGCTGAGGGGACGAAGAGCGGACAAGATCTGCAAGTTCGCGTGCACAGGGTGGGGGAGGATGGGGGGGAGGAAGAGAGGTGCCCCCTGTGGGGGCCTGAGAGGGCTCCCTTCTGGGCCCTAAAGGGCCCCTATTCCGCAGCCCTCGCAGCCCCCCCCTCATGTATCGCCCCCCGCATGGATCGCGTCCTCCGACAGAGGCTGCGACCTGCAGCCGCCGGGCACGAGCCTGGTCGGGGCAGCGCCTCGGAGGGTGGTGCGCGGCCGCTGGCGGGAGGTCGGGGGACAAATTCTCCTCCCCCGCCTCCTCTCTGCTCCCCCATGCTCCTACTTTAGATAAGCGCGTTCCACCACTCGCAAAGTAGCTACTCGCAAATGGCCTGGATCCGCCGCGGGAGACTTACGACCCATTGCCGCCCATTGCATGAAGGAAGACCTGTTTTGTTCCGACGTTTGCGAGGAGGCACTTGGCGAATAGTGGAACGCGCTCGGTGATTCTCCCCCGCCTCCTCTCTGCTCCCTCATCCCTCCTACGTGGGGCACGCCCTCTGGAACGCACGCACCGAGTCAAGAGTCGCATTCCTCCCTCCTTCCTCATCCTGGTCCTACCTCTTCCTCCCTCCTCCCTCCTCCCTCGTTCTCCCTCGTCCTCCCTCGGCCTCCATCGTCCTCCCTCGTGCTCACTCGTTCTTCTCCTCTTCCTACTCATCCTCCCCCTCATGCTCCTACTCCTGCTCGTCTATGCTCTTACGCCTTCTGCTCATCCTACTGCTTCTCCCTCCTCGTCCCTCCTTTGTCCTCCTGCATCCCTCCTCCTCCTCTTTCCCCTGCTCCTCCTCCTCCTCCTCCTCCTCGTGCCTCCTCCTTCTCCTCCTCCTCCTCCTCCTCCTCCTCCTCCTCCTCCTCCTCCTCCTCCTCCTCCTCCTCCCCCCATCCCCTCCTCCTGCCCCGAACACCGCGCCAGCGACGTGGCCGTCGCCTCGCCGGTGCCGGGGGAAGGGGGGGGGCGGTGGTCCGCCAGGCGCGTCCGGTCCGATCCTCGTGCAGCGCCTCCGTCTCCGCCCGCAGCCTCTGCGCGGCCGCGGTGCGTGCGCAGCCCGGGGCCTCCCCAGGAATCGGGCGCACGCTACGGCGGGTGCCAGTCCACAAGAGACCCGCCACGAGAAGCCCAACCCTGAGACCCCAGGGCGTCCATCGGTTTCTGGCGTGGGAGCGTCGCGCTTTCCACCGCAAAACCACTGAGACCCAAAAAACCCAGGGCACCCTGGAGGCAAGCAGGGTGTTTCTTGGCATGGGCCTCCACTGTACGGATCCGCGGATCTGGCGCCCCCAGAATCATGGCGCCGGCACCGCCCGATTCGTCGACGGAGCGCGCCGATTCGGTGCGGAAGCGGGCCCCGTCGCCGATCCACGCGCGCCTTCATCCATGTTCCCGTTCCCTCGGGAGGGCCCGTCGTCCATCCTGCGCTCTGTGGAATCTCTTCCTGCTCCTGCAGTTCTCTCGTCCGCTTTGCCCCGAAATCTAGGGGTTGCAATTTTTCCACACTGGGCGCTTTCGCCGAATATCAAGCCCTGGGACCATCGCAGATTGATTCAGCTCGAAAAAGCCGCAGAAAGATGTGGTCCAGGGCTCTTGTCGCGATTTTGCGGCCGGCTCTCTTGCTCTCCCTACCTCCCTCTCCACTTGCCCGCTGAGCAGCAAGACTGAGCAGCGCAGCCGCATGTGGTTTCCATCAGCGACACTGCTGGACAGCTCGATACTCGATACGCCTGTCCGCTGCTCCCTGTAAGCCAGCCTGCGCTAGAGTTAGGTCGGGCATGTCTCCCTACAGGCGGATTTTGGACGGAACAAAAAACTCCAAAAATACGCCCCCAATGCCCAAAGATAGTAAAAACAAATCGTCCCCAGACTATTGTTTAAACTATTTTTGGATATCCCTCCTGCAGAGGGGCAGGCCCGACTTCACGCTAGAGCCTCCATGTGCGCATCGCGTGAGCGTCCTCGGGACGAAGCCGCTTCGCCCAAGGGTCCCTCTGGAGTCCGCGCGTCGTCCGGGCCCACTCGTCGGCCGAGCGGATGCCTGGGCATGCACTTTCGGAGGCCCGCGCGGGTCCGAGAGATCCGCGCAGAACTCCGACAGTTTATGCTTATGCCGTTTCCGCTTCTTCGGCTCCAGGGCGCTGGCGGGATGTTAGCCCACGCGGCCGCCGAGTGGGCTTGACCTCGGCTTCGCTCGGCGGACGATTGGACTCGGCCGCCGAACGGGCTGAGGAGGGAGCCATGGGCGCACCGTCTTGAACAGGCCACGACTTCGAAGCCAGAACTGGTACATATCCACCGCCAGGAGCCGTGGGATGATCGGTACCCCACGCGGCGGATGATGTGTATAAGTATGGGTCTCGAAGCGACGGATATGTGTTGCAACTGTCAGCGCCTGGAGGCCGCTTTCGGGCTCCGGAGCTGTCACACAACGCTCGGGGATGAGAAGCCGGTCCCCCGAGATGGGGTGAGAGGGGCGTGGGCCACGCGTGCTGAAGAATCATTCAGCTATTTGTGGGACTTGGAGCGTGAGGGTGCATTGCAGCATCACTGATGCATCTTGGGCTTACTCTGGTCCTGCTCCCCCTCCTTCTCCTCCTCCACCTCTTCCTCCTCCTCCGCCTCCTCCTCCTCCTCCTCCTCCGCCTCCTCCTCCTCCTCCTCCTCCTCCTCCTCCTCCTCCTCCTCCTCCCGCTCCCCGTCATCCTCCTCCTCCCGCTCCTCCTCCCGCTGCCCCTCCTCCTCCGAAGGCGGCGACGACGACGTCCCCCTCGTCGGCCTGGCCTGGCCATGTGCCCCTCCGCCTCCGCGTCCTGCGGCGCCGCCTGGGCCTATGGGCGGAAGACCGACGACGCCCGACCGACCGACCGACCGACCGGCTGGCCGACCGACCGACCGACCGACCGACCGACCGACCGGCCGACCGACCGACCGACCGACCTGCCGACCGACCGGCTGACCGACCGACGACCGACGACCGACGGCGACCGACGGCGACCGACGGTCGACCGACGGCGACAGACGCCGACGGGCGATGACGGCGCGGCGAAAAGCGACGACGACGACGACGGCGGCAGCGGGAGGAGGGCGGGAGGCAGAGGGGGCAGGGCGAAGAGGATCGGGAGATGAGACGAGAGGAACGACGGAGGAAGATGAAGGGAGGAGGGGGAGGAGGATCATGAGGACGCGGCGGAGGAGGCCGAGGAGGAGGAGGAGGAGGAGGAGGAGGAGGAGAATGGGGAGCTCAATATCGACACCAACCCTGCCTTACAGCGCCCATGTACGCATATATTCGGCAGAGCCCGCGGATGGCCCCGAATGATATCCCGACGTCGCATTTCCATCGTCGGCAAGACTTGCAGGATGCACATGGCCGAAAAAGCCACGCGCGCGGGGCGCACAAACCTGAAGCTTCTGTCCTGGAGCACGCGCAAACAATCCGCGGCTTGCTGATATGAGCCAGCCACGCGGCTCTCGCTGGTGTATAAATTTCTGGGTGGGTGTACACTTCGTTTGGGCGGGTGTACATCCTGCTTGTTTGGTGGTTTTGGTATACACCCGCTGTCCCGCGGAAAATAAACGAAACACCTCTGGAAATATTGCGGATTCGCGAGGGCCGGTCCCACCCGTGCAGACGAGTACGAGCATCATCGATGCTGGCGGCGACCTGTGCGGGCTCACTGGGCCCCCCCGCGAAGGCGGCCTCCGCGAAGCGTCGGCAACTCGTCCAAGACATCCCCTGCGACCCCCCGAAGTCGGCATATTTGCGCCCCGAGGCAAATTTCGCGTCACGAGTAATGAACATAGATTGGCATCTGTATTGTGGGGGGGGTCGTAATCTTGCTCCCGAGAGAAGGAGGAGGAGGAGAAGGAGGAGGAGGAGGAGGAGGAGGAGGAGGAGCAGGAGGAGGAGGAGGAGGAGGAGGAGGAGGAGGAGGAGGAGGTGGAGGAGGATAGGGAGGAGGAGGAGGAGGAGGAGGAGGAGGAGGAGGACGAGGAGGGAGGAGAAATAGCAATTACGCAGCGCAGGAGGAGAAGGAGGAGGAGGAGGAAGAGGCGTGGAATGGAATGGAATGGAATGGGACGCTCGTGCGGGCGATCGCCCAGGCCACTCAAGGGCGGAGCGGGTGAAGCCGTGACCTCGCAGACATGGCCGGCGGGCTGGTTGCTAAGAGAGCAGGCGTCGCGGAAGTCTCAGGAGTGAAACACACAGCACCGTCTCCAGCTTCGTCCAAGTGGCATCTTCTGTGGCCAGTTTGAGCCAATCGGTATTGTTCACGTCAGAACTATTACGGGAGGGTCGCTCTTGTACGCCACGCGATGAGAAGGAGGAGGAGGAGGAGGAGGAGCATGGAGGTGAGCGCACCCAGACTTTATCAGGGGGTGGCAACTCCAAGGAAAAAAAAAAAACTTTCGAAAGTCCGTGCGGATGTCTTGGATCGGCGCTGGACGACGTGAGCATCTCTCGAAACCTGCCCAACCCCTCCCCGATCCCTCGAGCGTGGCCACCCTGGCGGTGGCCCGTGGCTTCGGGGCGACGTTTTCCCGCGGCGTGCCCGCGCCGAACTGGCTGCCCGACGGAGAGCTTGCGTCCGGTCTGACCTGGAGCAGGGTGCACAGAGGAGAGGCAGCACTGCAGGTACACAAACGTTCGCAGGTCCACGCGGGCTTATCGGATCGGCATCGGATCCTCCTGGCGGCGCCTGTGGCGAAGCCCCTAGCGCGCTCCGCGCGTCAGGGAAGGAGATCCAGCGCCGATCCGAGAAATCCGCACGAGCCTCCAAAAGTGTTTGCTTCTGTCGATGATTATTCTACGAGTTTGGCCTGGCCTGGCACAGCCAACCATGCGCACGGACGCAGGGTAAAGGTGCAAGGTCCCTGGGGCCAAACAGTCACAGACTGTCCGACTACTCAATGATGCGGGGCCATCCTTGGTAAAGCACGGCGGGCTCACGTCGTGATGACGCTGGCGTTGACTTCTGACACCGCATGTATCGTTCAACCTTGAACAATCGTCGCCTTCCGATAGCGCCGATCGTTCGATGTCGGGCGATTCTGGGCCACCGGATGCCACTGGCGACGTTCAACATTGAACACCCGCGCTGGGGGCACCGCCACGTCGACCCGACGCAAACCTGCTGCGCATAGAGACAGGACAAGCACCGCCAGACGTGATCACCCCCGTGCGGCAGCGACGGGGTCCGCTGTGGTGGATGTAAAAAAAAAAGCGATGTGCCGTCGACACACTATCCTCATCCTCCTCTTCCTCCTCCTCCTCCTCCTCTTCCTCCTCCTCCTCCTCCTCCTCCTCCCGGTGCGACGGCGCCCCGGGCTGGACGGGCAGATAGACATAGAAAATGTGAGGACACGTCGGTGCGACGGCGACCGCGGGGGTCACGGCTAGATTGTCGCCATTGACCCCCGTCTCAAGGCTCCCGATCAATACTCTGGCGCCGCCTCCGGCGGCGCCGCGCCCCAGGGTTGAGGTGTTGAGACCGCCCCGGACTTCTCGGGGTGCCTGTTGAGGCCAGCTGGGACTACCAGGGGGGGGGGGGGCATGTTGAGGCCGGCTGGGACTCCCTGGGGGGGGGGGGGGGCGGCGGCCTGTTGCGGCCAGCTGGGATTACCGGGGGGGGGTTGTCTGTGCGCAATCCGACGCCCAACAGCCGGACCTGGGACAGAAGAACTTCCCTCAAGAACATGATACCCTCCGCCGGCCCAAACTGAAGAACATTCTGAGGGTGCTCTCCCCCAGGATGCACGAGAACATGCAACAAGCACGAAGAGCAGCAGGGTACCCTCCCCGAACCGACCTCGATCCTGTACCTCGGTCTGAGTGCACCAGGGAGAGAGATGCCTCCCTCCCTGTCTGGGTCGGAGTACACACGCCCTCGGAGGCGCCCGCGGCCTTCAGGGCCGTAGCGCAACAGGGAGGGCCGTAGGTGGGGTGGTGTTGTTTTGGAGGAGGAGGAGGAGGAGGAGGAGGAGGCGGAGGCGGAGGCGGAGGCGGAGGCGGAGGAGGAGGAGGAGGAGGAGGAGGAGGAGGAGAGGAGGAGGAGGAGGAGGAGGAGGAGGAGGAGGAGGAGGAGGAGAGGGAGGGGAGGGGAGGAGAGGAGGAGGAGGGAGGAGGAGGAGGAGGAAGGAGGAGGAGGAGGAGGAGGAGGAGGAGAGGAGGAGGAGGAGGAGGAGGAGGAGGAGCACACGCCCTCCGAGGCGCCCGCGGCCTCCAGGGCCGCGAGGCGTGCGCGCTCGGCGGCGACCTCCCTCCGCAGCTGCCCGTCGGAGAGCCCGGGCTCCTGCGGGCGCGGGCGCGGGCGCCGAGGGGGGGGGAGCGCTGGAGCTCCTATACGCAAGATCGGCGGCGAGCGAGGGGGGGGAAGCGAGGAGGAGGAGGAGGAGGAGGAGGAGGAGGAGGAGAAGGAGGAGGAGGAGGAGGAGGAGGAGGAGGAGGAGGAGGAGGAGGAGGAGGAAGGGGAAGTGAGGAGGAGGAGGAGGAGGAGGCCCCGACCGCAGTGAGGCGGCGGCAGCGACTCTCGGCGGCGAGCGACAGGGGGGGGGGGAGGCGAGGAGGAGAAGGCCTTCCCGGAGGGCGGCGGGACTTCTCGAGAGCCCTCGCGCCTTCCGAGAAATGTTCGTGGCGTCTTCGGGAGAGGCCCAGAAAACTTTACGCGAGGGCAGGGGACTTCCGAGCCCTCTGAGAAGGCCTTCTCCTTCTAATCTCCCCCCTGGGCTCGCCGCCGACAAGATCCTAGCTGCGAAGAGACCGAGATCTGCAGCTCCACTTCGTCATGCGGTCGCCGATCACCTCTCCCTGGAAGGTCGAAACGTCGGATGCGCGTGGGCGAGCACCTGCTCTGCGAATGGTCATGCCCGAGTCCGCCTGCGCGAAGCCCGCTACGGTCGGGAACTTCTGCTTCGCGTGTCGCGGCGGCGGCCTCGGCGACACGCTACAGTATTCGCATCCCCGGGATAGTCACACCAGCCCTCTGGGCGTAGGTGGTTTAGGGAGCTTCCTCTTCCACCCCTCCCGCTTTCCCTTCGGGGAGGGGTCTACCCCTCCCCCTACCCCCTCCCCTGGACTTGGACGGGGCCGGTCGCGGGTAGCTAGAGCGCCCAGAGCGGCCTCGGCGAGGAAGCCAAAATCATTGGTTCTACTACGGTTTGGGCTCCATTTTGGCCTCTTGGGGGGGGGGCGACGCTAAAATGAGCTCCCCTCTTCTTTGATCGATCTCCTCCAAGATGGCCCCAAGAGGCGCCCAGGAGTCCCCAAGAGGTCCCAAAACCCCTTGTATCATGACTACACGTCGTTCATTTCTAATCGCGCTCATTTCAAATTGTGCTCGTTTCTAATGGTTCCTGGCCCCCCAGTGGCGAGGAAGACGCCCAGGACAGAACAAGTAGAAATGAAAGGACCTTGGCCCCCAACAAAAATCACATAAATTTTCGAATACTTAGAAATGAATAATGTGTATCCTTGGGCAGCTCATTTTCGCTGTGCGGACGGGGGCGTCGAGGCCGAACTTCGACTATCCCTGGGCCAAGTGCCTATCGTCACTGGCGTCTTGGTATCATGTCGGCCCCCACGAACCCGCAGAAGAGGCGTACACGTCGTTCATTTCTAATCGTGCTCGTTTCTAATTGTGATCGTTTCTAATTGTTCCGGGCCCCCTCGTGGCCAGGAAGAGGCCCAGGATAGAACAATTAGCAATGAAAGGATCTTGGCCCCCAAAGAAACAAAGAACTCTCGAATAATTAAAAGTGAGCACTGCGTAATTGTCCATCTTGGTATCATGTCGGACCCCACGAACCTGCACGAAGGTGCGGAATGCCCGTGGGAATCCGCTCCACCATGCAACTTCCATGCCCGATTCATACTGTTGCTGTGTGCGCCCGAATCATGGGGGTCGCATTATGATCAGTAGTATCATCATCAACGCTGTATTGTAAGATCATACTAGTTCACAGGTTTCGCGCTCCTCCCACGGCCTCCAGAGGTCTGTGGAGGTCTCTGCAAGTCTTAAAGCTGCCCCGATACGTCGCACGCAACATGTAGCGTACAGATACGGAACTCAACACGCAGACTGAAAACACAGGCCTGACGCGATGAGTTCGCCAAAACGTGGGCCAACACTCTGAGCCAGCACGCAACGTATTGACACAGAGGCTTTGAACACGGCACAGGAGGAGGAGGACGAGGAGGAGGAGGAGGAGGAGGAGGAGGAGGAGGAGGAGCTGCGTTTCAAAGCGGGCGCAGCAGGGCAGCCAGGCTGGAGGCCCCTCGCAAGCAGGGGCCCTCGGAGGCCCCCGAAGGCGCCAGGGGCCTCTGGAAGCCCTCTTCGGCGACACGCGCGAGCGCCCCCAGGCTCAGGTCGGGCTGCGCCGTGCTGTCCTGAGCTGCCCTCCCAGCCTGGGGCCGGGAGGGCCCTGCCCTCGGCTCGCCCTGCCCCGACCTCGTCGGGCCTTCGGCGAGGCCCCGCCTCGACAGCGAGGGCCCTGCGCCCTGCCACGGCCCGGGACCAGGGGCCGGCGCTGCCTCGGGCGGGTGCGCTCCGAGTGCTCTCTGGCCGCTCGGGCCCTCTGTCTGCTGATGCTGCGCCGTGCTTTCCGGTGCTGCCCTCCCGGCCTCGGGCCGGGAGGGCCTCCGAGAAGCACCCAACTGCGCACATTCGCTGTTTGTTGTTCCTTCCTTCTCTGGCAGGGCGGTTCGGCTCGTCGTCGTGCGCCAACGTGCGCGCGCCCGTATGTTTGGTGTCTGTTCCATGGGAGCCTGCGTGGCCCCCGGCACTATCGCATCTGGGCCTGATTTGGACCGGATTTGGACTGGACTTGGACTGGATTGGTGGGGGCTGGGAGAACGAGGAAGGGGAGGGGGAACAGGAGGGGAGAGGAGGAGCAGGAGGACGGGCCAAATGCGGCCCCCATGCGGTCCACATGCAGGGAAAGCTGATTTCAGTGTCGCCGCCCGAGGCTCCCACGAACAGACATCGAACGTATGACCGCCAAGCGGGCCGTTTCCCCAGACCCCTCGCGTCGCGAGGGAGGTCGTCTGCCATTTCCGGCCTCCGGGGGGCCCACGCCGGGCCTCCGTGGGCTGACCACCAGCGGCACGCCTGGGCCTGAAAATCACGCTTGGAGACCCAGACTCAGGTCGGGCATGTCCCCCAAAAATGCTCCCCAAATGCTCCCAGATAGCCAAAAATTGTCAAGCAGTCGTCCCCATACGACTTTTTTTTACTATTTTTGAATAGGGACAGGCCCGACTTAAACCTAGACTTCGGTCGGGCATGTCCTCCACATGCGGATCTTGGACGAAAAATAACAAAAAACAGAAAATGCAACCCAACATTCGAAAACAGTCCAAATATCGTCCCTCACAAGTTTTTTTGACTATTTGGGGAAACTCCTCCTGTTGAGGGACAGGCCCGACTTGACCCTAGGCAAGAGTGACCTTTGCTGCGCGGCTCAACGAGGAACGCGGGGTGGCCACACCTGGGCGCACAGGCCGCTGCTGCCGCCTCGCGCTCGCCGATCCGAGGACCTCGTCGGGTCCGCACCAAAAGGTCGCTCCGGCGTAAGGCCACCCTTCCGTCCAGTCGAGGGGGGCCGCCACCCACACGAAGCACCTCTAGAGCCTGGCTTCGCGGCATCGCGCCCCGCGGTGCGCGGGCATCTCTGCGCCCTGCGCGCCCTCGAGCCGCCCCCCCTGGCTTCGGGAGGGCAGCGCTCCGGCCCGGGCCGCGACGCGCAGCGCGCGATCCTCGTCGTGCCCCTGGGGGGGACCCACGAGCCTCGACCCTCGAACTGCAATCCCCCTCCTCCGCGGCCCTCGATCCTCGACTCTCGCCCGCCCCGACCCTCGGCTCTCCCTGTCTCGACCCCTCGCCGCCTCGATCCTCGACCCCTTGCCGCCTCTCCTCGATCCCTCGCCGCCTCGATCCTCGATCCCTCGCCACCTCGATCGCCCTCCCCTCGACCCTCGCCGCCGCTGCCTCGACCCTCTCCGCCCTGATCGCCGACCCTCGCCGCCTCGATCCTCGACTCTCGCCGCCTCGGTCCTCGACCCCCCTCGATCCTCGAGCCCTCGCCCCTGGCGCGGGCCGCGCCGCGGAATGATGGGCCCATTTTCCGCCACCACCACTGCCATGGGTAGGAGGAGTAGGAGGAGGAGGAGGAGGAGGAGGAGGAGGAGGAGGAGGAGGAGGAGGAGGAGGAGGAGGAGGAGGAGTTGGAGTTGGAGTTGGAGTTGGAGGAGGAGGAGAGGAGGAGGAGGAGGAGGAGGAGGAGGAGGAGGAGGAGAACCTCCCCATCCTCCCTTCTCCCCCGTCCTACCCATGGCAGCGGTGGTGGAAAACTGGCCCATCAGGAAGCGCTCCTGCCGAACGCTCCACTCCGACGGCGGCGCTCGTCCGCGGCCGCGGCGCTCCTCCAGCGCGCGCCGGAGGCGGAGTCCCTCCGCGCGCAGTCGCGCCAGCTCCGCGTCGGCCTCCGCCCGGCTCCGGCCACCGTGCTCGCCGCTCGCCGCCGAGCACCAGGGCGGCGAGGGTCGAGGCTCGAGGCGCGAGGCTCGAGGAGGAGGGCTGGATGACCGAGGCTCGAGGGGGATCGAGGCGCGAGGCTCGAGGAGGGATGGATGACCGAAGCTCGAGGGGGATCGAGGCGCGAGGCTCGAGGAGGAGGGAGGGCTCGAGGACCGAGGCTCGAGGGGGATCGAGGCGCGAGGCTCGAGGAGGATGAGGTGGACGAGGGAGAGGTGGATCTCCGCAGGCCGTCGGCCGACGACGACGCCGACCCTCCCTGAAGACAGCACTTTGTGCCTGTCGAGGCACAGCGACGGGTGTTTCAGGGAACCGAAGCAAAGCTCCTGCTCGCGACCCTCCCTCAAACCGGCACATTTTGTCTGTCGGGCCACGGTGGGGGGTACAGTCATCGGCCTGACCAAAGGAACAATAAATAAGGAACGAAGCCCCGAATTTCCGAGGAGTAACGCACAAGGAACGATAAATAAGAAGTCACGCATAAGGCACGATAAATAACGCATGCAAGCCCAAGGAACGACCGAGACCCTTTTGCACAAGAAGTGTTCCTTATCCAAGCCGATCACTGTGTTTCAGTGAACTAGAGCAAATCTCTTGTGATGACACACGCGTGAGAGTTACAGATCTACGCACACGCGTCGAGAGGCGGAACCCTTCTACCACGCCATGACGATGCAGTCTGCAGGCGTACGAAGGGCGCTAGACAGAACTGAGCTTTGCCACCACTTGGCGATGTACCACGTGTATGAATACATCGCCGATAAGCTTCGCCACGGTATGAGGGTACTTCTGGTTCAGCAGCTTTGGAGAGCAATTCCCCTCCATCTTACCACGGATGTTTACATGCTTCTTACGCGTAAACGAGCAGAGTCCATTCGTTCCATGACATCCGAAATGCGGAACAGATGGGGGAGCACATTGCTGGAACACGGCACAACAATCAACGTCCACAACGGCATCGCGCGAGAGCGTTTCGATGCGAGAGGGGAAGCACCATAGGAGAAAGGTCTGAGAACTCTCTTCGCTTCAACATGTGCCACATTCTTACGCCGGCTGCTGCAGACGAGCTCCAGTGCCAAGCAGATTGATAGCTTCACGCGCCTAGGTCGGGCACACGATCATGGAGGGTAGCGCGCAACGGTGGCGACGTGCGGCTAAGACGTGCCTGCGCCGGCCCTGGCGGTGGTGACGCACCGAGTGGCAAGCGGGAGACCCCGAACAAGGCCAGCGCGCATCCGACCTGCAACCCTGGTGGCCACATCGCGACGGACGAGATCAAGCTGCTGCCCGAGCAGCTCATCGAAAGCAGCGCCATCATGGCCTCTGCCCCTGAGGCTTTTGCCGACAGGCGCCGCGCTGGCAAACGTGTCCGAGAGAATAGAGCGCCTCAGCGTGGTGGCGTCAGCGCGCGCTGCCCGCAAGCCTGCAGCACGAGCCCGGCCCGCGGGGGCTCGCGCCTGCGCCCCGCCGCTCGCTGACGCCCTCGAGCCTCGAGCCTCGACCGCCTCGACCCTCGACCAGGCAGAGGCCTGCGCAGAGGCCCCCCGCGGAGCGGCGCGGGCGCGCCGCGGCGCGCCCCGAAGCGGGGCGCGGTCACGCGCGTGCGCGCGCGCCCGCGCGCGGAGGGGCGCCTCCTCCTCCGCCTCGGGGCCCCCCGCGCCGGCGGCGGAGTCCAGCGAGGCCAGCTCCTCCCGCTGCAGCCGCGCCAGCTCCCGGAGGCCGTCCCGCTCCTCGGGGCGGCGGCGGCGGCAGCGGCGTCGTCGTCGTCGTCGTCGTCGTCGTCGTCGTCGTCGTCGTCGTCGTCGTCGTCGTCGTCTTGGGGTTTGTCTTGGTCTTTGTCTTGGTCTTTGCCTGCGTCATGTCTTTGTCTGTGCTGTCGTCGTCTTTGTCTTTGTCGTTGTCTTTGCACGTGTCTTTGTGTGTTGCCTTTGTCTGTGTCTTCGTCTGTGTCATCGTCGTAGTCTTGGTATTTGTGTTTGTCGTTGTCTTTGTCTGTATCTCTTGTAGTCGTCTTTGTTTTTTTCTTTGTCTTTGCCGTCGGAAGCGGAGGGGGCGGCATGGGGCGGCGGCGGAGGGGGAGACAGAGGAGGCGGAGGAGCAGGGGAGGCGGAAGAGGTAAAAGAGGAGGGGGGGAGGTGGAGGAGGCGGAGGAGGGGGGAGGAGGGAGAGGAGGAGGAGGAGGCTGAAGAAGAGGTCGAGAGGATGATCACGCTTTCGCTATTTGGGGGCTTCTGGGGATAAAGGGGGGACGGGCTCGACGCCATGTTTAGATGTGCGTCGAGATTCTAGGCAGATGACACTCCAGGAGAGGTCCAGGAGTCGACTTTAAATAAGTCAGAAGACGAGAGGAGGGGGGGGGAGGAAAGCGAGGGAGGAGGATGGAGGAGGGAGGGGGAGGAGGAGAGAAAGGAGGAGGGGGAACAGGAGCAGGAGGGGAGGAGGGGAAGGAGGAGGAGGAGGAGGAAGAGCAGGAGGAGGAAGAAGAAGAGGAGAAAGAGGAGGAGGACCCCATCCCCCCAATGGCTGCCCCCCATTGCGCGTTCTAGGACCCGGTTTCGGCCCGGCCTTCTAGGCAGGAGCCTGGTGAGCGTGGTCGGGGCAGGGCAGCTCAAGATCGGCCCCCCCGGGACCCCTCGCGGGGCCCGAACGCGCACCACGGTGTCCCGAGCTGCGTCCCACCGCGGCGACGAGAGGCCGACCGAAGGCCAGCTGCGTCTGTCGCCACTCGCCCTCCTCCTGGTGCAGCCCGAGGAGGGGGAGCGTGCAGCGGCCACCAGGTCTCGACGCAGAGCGGCCAATTCCTCACTGGAGGCAGGCGCGGGAGGCTAATTACCCAGCAGCCAGCCTGCGGGCGGCCACACCAGACGTGGCCCATGCAGCGAGACACCGCCTGTATGGGTGGGCGCGGCATGACGTGTGCACGTGTCCCTGGAGGGACGGACAGCCAACGAGACCTCGCTCGAGAGCGCAAGCGGCGGCGCGCAAGGCGCAAAGCAGCGGGCAAGGGCAACATGCAAAGGGTACTGGAGAAGGGGGATAATACATGAATAATTGATAAGTACACGCCCGAAGAGTAAGTAGGAGGGAGCGCGAACGGCGGGACGAGGACCATCAATTGACCCTTCGACGGTCAAACAGACTCAAGGCTGGCAGCGTGGTACCGAATACCCGCAGTTATAATCTGCCGTTGAGACAGCACGGCAAGTCGCTTCCAGAAAATGTTAGGGGCAAGCACGAGACAAGTAGCTGACCGATGCGAACTGCCTGTCGCAACGTCGGCCACGCCAGGAGCGGCTCTCGCCTTCCGAAGGGAAAAATCACTCTGCCGAGACAGTGGCAGTTGGCTTGACAGTATTGGGCCACTGGCGGCGGCTGCTTCACACCGAGTCCGGCAGAGGCGCGAGGCAGCCAGACAGCTGCAGATCCAGACACGCCTCCCTTCAGGCGGCGGCTGCGCAAAATTATAGATCGAGCATTGTGCTGGCTGGCTGCAAGATCCATCCCCCACCACGCCCCTTTCCTCCTCCTCCTCCCCCCCCCCTGACTTCGCTCGCGATGCAGCCGACGGCTGGCCACCGTGCGCGCTGCCGCCAAGCTGGGAGGTGCAGCGGCACTGGCTGGTGGAGCGAGATGCTATCGCTGTCGTGCCGAATCTCGCTCCTGGTGCATGCGCTGGCGCACGCACCGGTGCCACGCTCACGCTCTGGCTCCTCCAGCCTGCTTCACTCTGGAGTGCTGCTCCTGCAGAGCGGCCCTCCTGGACACCTTCAGCTCGGTGCAGAAGACGACCCCCAGGCCGAGGACGATCCCCACGATGCCGAAGTCCTTCAGGCGGGGCATGCCGATGTGGAACTGGTGGGCCCACGGGGCCCCCATCAGGCCCACGATGGCCATGCAGATGAAGGTGACGGCCGCTGGGTGCATGCCCATGTACACAGAAACTACAGCGGGGTCAGTGTGCTGATTGGCCCAATTCAGCATCGGCCAGGCCACGAGAGTGCAGACCACGACCTCGAATAACAGCGGGAAGTAGACCGAGGTAGGCAGCCAGAGGCCCTGATTCATACACCTCTCCATCAGGACCTGCGTGTCGTCGTGGCAGAAGACCTCGTGCAGTGGCCTGAACGTGAACATCATCATGGCGGTGATGATCAGCAGGACGAGGCTGGTGAATATTGACCACGTGAGTGTCTGCACTGGCGTGTACTTGTCGCCGAGCCTGTTCATGATAATGAAGTAGGCAGCGGTTCCTGCGATGTTGCAGAAGAAGATTACGTGGCTGACCGCACGCACCAAAACCCCGTGGTCCGAGTCAACCGCCTTGCTTGGCCGACTGTCGAACCCCACCATGAAGGCAGCACCAGAGGTGGATATGAGGATTCCGACCACCTTCATCGGCTCCAGCTTGGTCTGACCGAGGATCACCGACAACAGCGCAGTCAAGACGGGCAGAAATGTCTGCCATGCGGAGCCTGTCACGGGGTCTGCGAGCTTCAGGGCCACGAACCAGAAGATCTGGTTGAAGAAGAAAGCCACACCTGCCATGATCAACCGAGGGACGTCCTCCCGCGCTGGAGAGAGCTTCAACCCGAAGATGAAGAGGCCCCCGACGAGGGCGATCGCAGACAGGACCTCGCGGACGAGCTCGAAGACGATGGCGCTGGTGTCGTGGACTCCAAACTTGCCCACGATGGCGCCCCCCGCGAACAGGCTGTAGCCGGCCGCAAGCGCGGCGTGGACCTTTCGGCTACTCGCAAGAGTGACCCTAGGCAAGAGTGACCTTTGGTGCGCGGAGCAAGGGGGCGCAAAGTGGCCAAATCCAAGCGTGCAAGCAACCGATATCGCACCGCGTTCAGCGATCGGAGGGGTCCCGATGAACCCGCACCAAAGGTCATTCCAGCGAAAGGTCACTCTCACGTTAGATCGGACATGTCCCCCTACAGGCGGATTTTGGGCGGACGCAAAATCCTTAAACATTCAGAAAATAATCAAAATAGTCCAAACTTCGTCCCCAGGCTTTTTGTTGATTATTTTTGAGTACTCCTCCTGTAGAGGGACATGCCCGACTTAACTCTTACGTGCAGCCGAGCCTTGTAGACGGACGGACCCTCGCCTTTCTGGGCCGGGCGCGCGGCTCCGCTGCCCCCCGGGCCCGCGGCCGCCTGGCACGCCCCGTACTCCATCTCGTTCGCGGCGGAGGCCATGGCTCCCAGGGCTCTGGGCGTATAAGTTCGGTTGACCCAAAAAGGGGTCCAGCTGAAAGGGGGTGGTGCAACAGGTTTGGGACAACTGTATTGCAAACGTGTTGCGCCAGAGAGTTGCATTGCATTGTATTGCAACTACGGTACTGCACGCGGAAGCCCAGCCATACATTTGCGCACCGGAACGTACTGCACGCCCCAGATCTGTTGCAACCCCCCAAATCTATTGCACCACCCCCTTGTCGCTGGACCCCTTGTGGGTCAACCCGAATAAGGTACACTTGTGCAGAGGGTAGAGCGCTCGCGCGGCAGCCGCGCGAACCAGACCTGCTCGAGCCCGAGGGGCGGTCACAGTCTGGAGTTTGGAGACGCAGCACCGCTCCTCCTCCTCCTCCTCCTCCTCCTCGTCCTCCTCCTCGTTTCCCTTTCCTTGTAAATAACTTTTCCCTGTCGCACCCCGAGGCCAGTTTTTAGGGCGGGCCGGGCGTTTCGCCTGAGACGTCCTCACCACTCATGACTCTCAAGATGGCAGCAGCTTCACAGATGGAGGGCGGGTCGTTTTCAATATGTGGCTCTAGCCTTGGCGCCGCGCAAATTCGTTCGCAAGATTTGCGAAAGCTTCACGGATTGAGGGCGGATCGTTTTCAAAATGTGGCTCTCGCCTTAGCGCCGCGCACTTTTTCCAAATTTGCAAGAGCTTCACGGATTAAGGGCCGGCCGTTTTCAACATGTGGCTCTCGCCTCAGCGCCGCGCACATTTGTTGTACAAGTTTGCAAGGGTTTCACGGATTGAGGGCGGTTCCTTCTCAAAATGTGGCTCTCGCCATAGCGCCGCGCACATTCTTGTTAAACAATGATAAGGAGTTTCACGGCTTCCCATGATAGACGTACCAGAAACGGTGTGTGTGACGGATTCTCCAGTATGAGGGCGAAACAATTACGATGATTCGCGGTGTTGAAGTCCCAGTAATGGCGTCCCGGCACGATTCAGGATCGCCAAGATGCAACAGCCAAGTTTATCCGTGGCGTTGGAATACCGAGAATAACGTTTTGGCATGCTGCAGGGTCCTCAAACGGCTGTCTTCCAGTGAGGCAGGTCCCTCTGTGGAAATGAACCTCCTCCTCCTCCTCCTCCTCCTCCTCCTCCTTCTCCTCCTCGAGGCGGGCAGCCCCAGGACGTGCGCGCGTGTGCGTGCAGATCGCCGCGATCTGCGTGCTCGCCGGGGAATTCCGTGTGCCCGAGCACTGTGTCAGAAGAGGTGGCGGCCCCAAAGCCCCCGGGGAGGGCCTTCTGGGGATCCGCTGCTCATCGCGGGTCGTGCTCTCCTCGGTCCGCCAGTGCCCCCGGGGCATTCCCCCGGGACCAGGTCTTCCTCCTGAGTCGTGTTTGACGGTCCCGAGGCCCGTGGAGGGACCCTGGAGGCCAGAAGCGGCCAGGGACCTCAGGACCTCTCAGGGCCCGTCTCCCTCAGGACCCCTCTGCTGCAGGGCTGAGGGGCAACGCGTTAAGGGGGGGCCAGCTCAGGGGGGGA